CAGCTAAAACAATGGATCAGATGTACTCAATTGGTAGGATTTAAAAAACATTGTACAGAATAAAAAACCAACAATCAAACAAAGAAACAGATGAGACCTATAATATAAAAACATTTAGGTTAGTTAAAAATACACACAAAATGAAAATACACATTTTGTAAAAATGTATACAAAGGGTTTTATATTAAACAAACTAAAATAGTTGGGAGGGGAACAGAATTGGGAATGAAAGGAAACAAATATACTAGCAAACATTAATGAAATTCAGAGGGTTTTTTGTTGTTTATCTGTGTGTGGGGGGCAGAGCTGGGAGGACCAGGACTTCCTGGGTACCTGGCTATAGCTGAATACCTGACACTAGATGCTGCAGTGGCTAATGTTTTATGAATGATTAGGAATAAAAATCAAACTGGTGACACCATCCAGGACTTCATCAATTCCTTAATGTTTTTCTCCTAGAAGTGCCAAGATTCCATGAATTTGAATGGCCTATGTGAAGGAAGTAATGAATCTTCTTTATAGTAACTATTTTCTAGTAAAAAATAATCATTTCTATAAAAAAGTGTTAAATTATCTGGCTAGAAGATATGGTGTCTTTGCTTCTAGATAGGACATGCATTAAAGCTGAAGCTTGATCAGTTGTCTATCCATAGTCTAGCAGTTTGTTGGTACAAGTTCTTAAATAAATTTGGTAGAATACATTGTTATCCTTTATTTGAACTACAATTTCAAAAAATTACAGTCATGCCAGCAGTGGCATTTAACTACTCTTACTGGTAACAGCCATCCAACGAATTCTCTAAGAGCGAACTGCAAAGTCCAAATCAAATTTCTCTGGGATTTGAGACATCAAATCCTCTAGCATCACAAGAGTAATGGTGATTACTTCTCAGCTGTGCACAGAACAGGGATTTAGCCAGTAGCTGGGTTCATCTATCCTCTCTCAAGTTCTGTATCTTTCTCTAACTCATCTCTCATCATTAATCTCCTTGATGGTTGTTTCATATTTACCTTCCTTTAGCCTAAATTAGGTTTCTTAGTCTTGGAATTTTGGGCCAGATAGTTGTGGTGTCTGACCTGTGTGTCGCAAACATTCAGCAGTGTTCCTGGCCTCTGGCCACCAGATGCCATTAACACCCCTGTGTGACAACCAGAAATATTTCCAGACATGCCCAGTGCACAAAATCATGTCTTGTTGAGATCCGCTAGCCCAGACAAAGAACTTGGGAAACATCAGCATTTCTGTGCAAAATCTATTCTGGAAAGGTTGCTATTTGTTTTCAAGATACAACACACAAAATTTCCTTTGTTAGGCAAATGTCTAAAACTAGTAGCTCAGAGATGGTTTTATGTGGCCAAATGAAAATTTGGGCTTATTTTCTTCTTTTTTTTTGTTTGTACCGGGGATTGCACTAGGGACCTTGTGCGGCAGGCAGCACATCATTGAGCTAAATCCCCAGCCCTTATTTTCTGAATTAATTCAGAAATGAAACAAAGCAAACAGTTAATCCCCAGTCTAAGCTAATGGAGTATTTAGGAAAACGTTGGTATTCAAGTCTCTATCTTGTGGAAAAATTGCTTTGTTTTCTTTTTGCTAATTGGACACGAAGAAGTGGTTAAGGGGGAGTTTAGAGCTAACTGAATGTTTGTTGGGTTGGTGTCTCCCAAACCTGGCCTATGAGTTGGAATCCTTCTTCTGGGTCTTGTAAGATCTACAGTCAGAGAACAATCCTGTATTCTTGAATTCCATCTTTCAACTCAATGGCTGTATCATTGGAAAGACTGTCGTAAAAATTAGAGCTCAAAGACCTAAGCAAAACAAAAATGTTCAAAAGAATTGAGGATCTACCTTCTGTATTTCAGTAAGACAAAATGAGAAGTCCTTGGTTATTTCTCTCAATAGCACAGATCAGAAAATGTTTGTTGTTGATCACGTGTGATTGTCATGAGGGAAAGGCAGTTCTAATTTGCTCTTGCTTAGGAGTTTTACATTTTAAGTATTATTCCTTATGAACTTAGGGTTAGGGAAATTAAATGTCCTGGGGTCTTCTGACCTTGAATCAAGGGTTCTAAATCTTCTAGATTTATAGTGGATAGAACACACACAATTAATTTTCTCTGGTTCTACGTTTTAATTGAGGGGGTTGATACAGTGGGTTAGGGCATTCATTCATTCATTCATTCATTGCCATGGTGGTGAGGTCTGGGATATTGTGGGGAGTGAGGAAGGATGAAAAATGCCAAAGAGAAGAAAGATGTGAAAGTTGGGAAGAAAGAATCCCAAAGAGAAAGACAAGATTAATAAGTTGGAATCTTAATGTTATGAATGTTAGAAGGAAAACTTTGTGAATGAAAGTGGTTAGAATCCCAGAGAATAAGGGGATCCTGATAAACAAACTACCAAAGTGGAGAAAGAGAAGTTCATGGTGAATCCTCAGGGGCGTCAATCTCAATCATACCTGTTCTATGCATGGTGAGGCCTAGGGCCCCGGCCTTTTCACATCCACCGTCTAAAATGCCTCTTGATGGCCCAGTGAAATGATCCAGAGAAGGGCACATTTTACAGAAGGAAATATGAAATGCAAAGGACAGTTGCTTGTTCAAGTTTCTAAAGCTATTCCTGAGGGAATTCATGTGTCATTTTTTGTAGCACTTATTCCATAACTGCCTGCCTGGGCTTGCCAGACTCTCAGACAGCAGATATCATGATAATCAGGTTTCTGAGAAATTATTAAAGATTGAATCAGTTTCTTGGGAGAAGAGGAAGCCACCAGAGAAGACACTGAAGAAGAAGGGGTGTGTGTGAGTCTTTTCTTCTTTCTTTTTTGGCATTGTTGGTTATGGAAGCCAAGATTTCACACGTGTTAGATAAGTACTCTACCACTGAGCTACACTCCCAGACCCTAAGTATTTTCTTTCTACTAATGAAAAATTTTACATTTCTCTGTTCCATTTAAAATATGTTTTCTGCAGCTTAGCTGAACAAGGCTGAAACCAGGCCTGGAGTGGTGAAAGTGATTAGCCACGAAGTAGACAGGATAATAAAAGAAGGGGAGAACAGCCATCTTTGTTTGGCCAGGAGCCAGTCATCACTACGCTCTTGGGCAACAAAGAAGTTAGTGGGTCTTTACGTTACTGAATTTGGACCCCAGTGTCAGGCAGTTATCTTCGGAGAGCAGGGAGAGAATGCAACAGATAGGGCATGGTCTCACCTCACGCTCTGGCTTGTAGATTACACTTAATGCAGAGCAAAGCTGAGCCTATTGGAATGGTCAAGACCAAAGGACCAAATTCCCAGGCCACGGGACCATCATTTATGTAGTAGAAAGTTCCAGAGCTCAGGAAAACGTAGGCTAGGCAAGTTATGAAAATCAGGCACATGAGAAGAAAATCATTTTTTGAGGGGGTGGGTACTGGGGATTGAACTTGGGTCCTGGTGCTTATAGGGCAAGTGGCAGAACCACTGAGCTAAATCCCTGGCCCAAATTCTTTTGTTTTTGCAACTTTGGTTTGTGCTGGGTAAAAACTCACTTTAGAATGAGTACAGAATTTTTTCATCTGCTCTGAACTGGCTTGAATTTATAGCTAATTTCCACCAGACAGGCTTATAGAACAAATCATAATTCAGTTTTCCATGCAAAGAGAAAATGGGAGGCCATTCCAAATTTTGAAGAAATATTGAGGAAATTAATTCTCTGGATAAAGGTGCATAAAAGGAATGGACAGAAGCAGAAATAAATTAACACTCACTTATCCTTACACAAAATGTATTATTCTACTCTCAGATAATTTATTATGTTAGATTTAGGTATGCAAATTGATTATATTTCAAAAGTAGCAAAGTAGGAACTTACTTGAATATGAGCAATAAATAGAATTGAAGAAAAGAGATCAGAGGGATTTAAGTTGCAGCACACAAGAAAATTGCACAAAGACGCTGGGAGAAGGTCAGAGTTCTGGACTTTTAGAAGTATGCTGTTGGGGCCTTATTGTGTGTAATGTTTTGGGAATATCAGTGCCTTCCTAGGAGGAAACACTAATTGACCATCAGTGGATAGCATTTCTAATATTTCCTTTAAGCCCTTTGAGAAAAGCTAGTAAGAGTAAGTGTCATTGCTCTCACATAGGTTGGGAGGCCTGTTGAGATTAGCCCGTCTTATGAAGATGGGCTAATTATGACACTGAACCTCAAGAGGAGTCAGGTAAGGGACAGGAGGATTCTGCCAACTTTCTGCTGTCATGAAAAATGAAAAAGGTACAGCTATGGGGCCAGGGATTGATTGATTGATTGATTGATTTAGCTTAAGTTCTTTTATTGGTACATTTTAGGAATACAATACGTTTACATTTATCATTGGGTGCTTGTACCTGTACATGATGTATCTTGGTTATTTTTTCCCCATTACCTGTGCGCCCTTCACCCCCTCCACCCTTCCCTATTTACACAGTCTTTGTTTCCATTTTTTTCTTTTCTCATAATTTTTCCTTTCCCCTTCCCCTCCCACTTCCAGGGCCAGGGATTTAGCTCAGTGGCATTGCACCTGTCTCAAAAGTGCAAGGTCCTGAGTTCGATCCCTGGTACCAAACAAACAAGCAAAGAAGGTACAGCTATGGCTCAAACTTGAAGTGCACTCTTCTCTGTAAATGCATGAAAGGTGAAGGTAGACTTAAGCAGGCAGGACCCAAGAGGCCTCCAAAGCTGGATCATGAACCTGTGATTTTGGTGCAGTTTCCTTGGAGTAATTCTGGAGAAATTACTAGCAGATTCAGGGCCTTACAGTCTGGAGCAGTAGAAAGATTAATGGTTATGAGTATGTTCTTGAGCTAGATGAGACTGGTCATGTGGTTTTTCTTCATTTTAAAAATAGAAATAAAAGGAAGCTGGGTATGATGGTGCCTATTTGTAATCCTAGCACTTGTGAGGCTGAGGCAGGAGGATCATGAATTCAAGGCCGGCTATGTAGTGAATTAGAAGCCAGCCTGAAGTGAGATTTTGTCTCAAAAAAAAAAAAAAAAAAAAAAAGGGAGGGAGGGCAATATTAGTATATGACTGCCATAGAATTTCTATAGGATCAGTGAAATCCCTGTGAATTTTGTATGCTGCTGCCTGGAACATTATGAGTACTCAATCAATGATACTTATAAGGGTTACTTTATTTCTTAAGCCATATGTAGCCAAGTTTCATCAGATGGCAAATGGTGAGACCACATTCATAAGGAAAGGCCTTACAAACTTAGGAGCTCACAACAAATAGCCACCCTAAGAGCTCTTGGAGGGATTTAGTCAAAACCCAGTCCCCATTATGCAGGGCTGGACCCCATCTCCTGTAGCCTATTTCATTTCAAACAACCTGATAGGCACAGTAGCTGGTCCCATGTTGTGACACAACTGAGAATTCTGCTTAAGAGTTGAAAATAAGCAGATTTGAACCATATTATTCTTTAGTTCCATAGTATTTGGTTAGGCAAGCTTCATATCCTCTTAGCCTCTGTTTTCTCCAGTGTCCAAGAGCAAGAACAGAATCAGAGTGCAGCAGCAATGGTTTTGAGAGAGTGGTAGATACCATTAACCTGGCCCTCTGTGAGGCTGGATGTGTCTGAGGTTCTATTTGTTGACCTGTTTGGTTATCCTGTAGGTGGCTTTGCCAGTGCCTCACATTTGGAATACCACAGCAAGAAGCAAGCAACAGAGTTGGCAAGAGAAAACATAACCTAGAAGGTGAGACAGATTGTAGTAACTAGAGAAGCAAGACTGGTGAGAACAGGGAGGAGAACATGAGCAAATAAAGATGGAAGAGAGAAAAATGAAGACTGGAAAGTGAAAGGGCAATTGAAAATAAATGGAGCTTTCTGATGCTGATGAAGCATGAGTTAGAAAATGATGATAATAATAGTTATAGAAAGATCATGAGATGGTTAGAAAGCCTCAAAGAATTGTAAGAGAAAAGGGTCTTTGGGGCATTGTGTTATCTATCTTTTGTCTTTATAGTTGAAGAAAGGAAAAAGTAAAGTAAAAAAGGAAAGAAAGAGAGAATCCTTGTGTTTGGGCTTTTGTGTCTAGGGGATTAGATTTGATCTATAAGGCCTTTTCCATGCCTAATAATCTATGAATTTACAAGTCAGACTTATTTATATAAGATTTCTTATCTAGTTAAAATAATTTACTGTGGTTTGTATAACTTCCATGAAAGCCACATTATTATGGATGATGTGAACGTGTCTGATTTTTCAAATTTACAAAAAGTCAAGATCATAATGCCCTTCGAATTTCTAAGTAGCTTATACAGTGGGATCCTTTTTTTTCCAGAAAGCTAACCAGCCCCCAGGGGTGTCCTGAGATTAGTGCTGAGCCTTTGGCAAAATGAAATCTGGGCTAGAACAGGTCCCAGAGCTTTGTGGCATTCCTTTGGGGGATTCCTCCGTTTCCTCATTGCTAAAGTCTATGATGTCTGTCTCCTTGGCATCTAGGTTTTCCATTAAGTACAGCATCTCAGGAGAGACCCGAGAGCCAGCCCCATTGCTGACTGCACTGGGCTCTGAGGATATCCACGTTTCAAGAAAGAGAGGCTGCCCAGGGCTCATGGGATCTGGACTTAGATTTCCTAGGGAGGTGTGGCTGGACTCCTGAAACTCTGGGAGGCTCCACCTTTTCAGGAACCTGTCATCGTCTGGGTCTTCCTCAAACTTGAACTTATTTGTCTCAGTACAGGCTGAAGCAGTCTGGAGAGTAGGGCTCCCAGGAGGTGGCCCCTCCTCTGAGGGGGAAAGGAGTGATCCTACCGGGTCTTCCTGCTGCTCCGTCCTGCTTGGCTGAACTCCAGTAAACTCAAAGCTAGTGATGGAAGTAGTGGAATTGTGGTGATGGCCATCTGATGAGAGCGCTGGCACTTCAGCTGCTGTGATCAATACCTCGGGGACCTGAGGCATTTTGGTGGGGGAGGCCCTCACACTGCACTGTGGGGTTAGGCTCTGGAGGGTGCTTGTCCTGCTGGTCTCCCTGATTGTGGACAGTTCTCCCATGCTGGAATGAAGCTTGAGGCCGCCCTCGAGGGAGTGCGATTGCTGCTGGATATGTGAGGCTCTGTGAGGGCTTCTAGAGGGCACATGCAGCAGATCCTGAGTTGGTCTGATGGGGAAGAGCATGGAGCTGTCGCTGGCCTGCCTCCTGAAGCTTCTCCTGGGGCTAGTGGGGTGCTCGTGGGTACTCAAGAACCTCTTGACTTTTCTTATCATAGAGTGCCGATGGCCATGCTTCTGAAAGTCCCACATCCACTCCTCACTGGGGAAGTCAGACTCAGACATCCTGAAACACACAATGACAAAAAGACAGGAATGGTAGCCTTGGGGGCCTGACTCTGGGGGCAGAGTCTCAAAGTCAAGAAATGAATTTGCTGTTTTTGCTTTACAGATTTTGAAAGGGAGGCAGGGGGATTTAACTCAACATAGTTCAGTAGGGATTTTCAAGCTTTTTGGTTTCAAGATCCTTTTAAACTCTTAAAAATTATCGTGTACCTCAAAGACATCTATTAATGTGAGTATTTTCTATCATTTCCTACATTTGTAATTATAACAGGAATTTTAAAACACAAGAATGTATATGTACACATTGCATTAATGGTTAATGATGATGTCATTGCATATCTGGTAGCTTCTGGAACATTCTCCTGTGTGTGAGTCATCCCTTATCTGTGGGACAGACATTCCAAGACACTCAGTAGGTGCCTGAAACTACAGATGGTGCGAAACCATAAGGGGTTTTCTATCTTGTTTGTCACACACTGACTGTAACTTTTGTAGTTTGAGTTGTGACAGCAAAACTAGCATGAATTTCTTTTCCTTCTCCACAATTTCATGGGTAGAAGAGTCACTCATATTGTAGATCTTCACAATTTCAGCATAGGAAGCACTTTACAGCTCCCTTTGACATATGTGCATTGTCCCCATTACTACTCCTGTGCTCTGGAGTTATTATTAAGCAGAATAAAGGTTACTTGAATACAAGTACTGTGACGCTGTGACAGTCAGTCTGATAACTGAGTTGTCTATTAAGTGCCTGGAGGGCAGACAGTGCAGATACACTAGACAAAGGGATGCTTCATGTTCTAGGTAAGATGGAGCAGGATAGTTTGAGATTTCATTCACTCTTCAGAATGGAATGCAATTTAATTGCAATGAATTATTTATTTCTAGAAACTTTTATTTAATATTTTTGGATTATAAAGAAAAAATAGTTTAGGAGTGTGTTTGATTGTGCATAACTGCAACCTTGGAAAGTGAAGTGGTGGCTAAAGGGAAAAGAGAAGAGGCAAATAACAGCTTGGTATTAATATGAAAATAGTTTTGACCTTAAGGATTCTTCTCTAAGTGGGTCTTTGAGACTCACTGATCTGGAGACTTGAACATTAAAACATGTATACTGTATACAATATATGATCTTTCTCCCTTATTACAGTTAAAATGAGATCCTGTTCCCCCAGTATCCATAATTCCCTTCTCCCCCCAAAACAATGGATCATAGCTAAATTTTAAAAGAGCGCAAATAACAGCTAATGTTCATTTAGTTCTCACAACAATTGTGTGAGTTGGTATTTTTATTATTATTCATACTTTACAGAGAAGGAAACTGAGTCCCAGAGAGATCCATTAGGCTTAAGCAGCCAGTGAGGGCCAAACTCCAAGACCAATTCCAGAGCCTTTGGTCTTTACTCCTGTGATAAAAGCCTGCCACACAGGTGTCAAGAGATGAGCTAAAGCCCAGGGCAGACTGATAAGTAAAACTATTGTCTTTTCGCAGAGGTGATTTCTGGTGAATGCTTTGCCTTTCTGTCTGTTCAGTGAGTTAAGGAAAGAGAACCACATTGTGCTTGGGCTCCCTTGTGAGTAAGTCTGATGCATTTGCTGTGGCTAAAAATTTCCTATTAATTTTAACATTTAAAAATTAAAACAAATAATCTTACTATTTTAAATCTCCTTAAGGCTGAAATAAAACGAGTAACTCAGATAGCCATAAGACTGGTTGGTAGTAAGGTCTGCTCTTGCCTCAGATTACATGGTTGTCTCACATTCCTGAGGACTTAGAGTCTTAATGGGGTTTGGAGAACTCCTTAAAGCCTTGCCCTTAAACAACAAATGCTCATGCTGGCTGTGGGAGCACCCGTAATCACACTAACCCAGTCCAGCATTGGTATTGATATACATGGTGACAAGACACTTCATGCCAGGAGCATTTTATGTGACATAAAGGGAAGAGTTGGTGCAGTAAATTGCATGTGTAACCTGAAAGGGCAAAGGGAGTAGCCAAAGAAAATGTGTTCCTGGTGTTTATGAATAAGAGATGGACGACCAAGATGATTAACTGGCTACATGTCCCAGGAAGGGGTTCCATTACACCCTTGTGCTGTTATTCTGAAGCCCCAGCTGTGCCCTTGGCTACCACATAGCCTTCTGACCTGCCCCCTGCTGTGCAAGGTGCGGCTTCTGTTACATGGACTTGGAAATGCAGACTCATGCTTCAGTGGCCTGGGTGACCCTGCTTACTGGATTTCATTAGGTCAGATTCCAGTCATACTTCACAGGAATCTGTTTAGCTGGGGTGCACACAAGCATAGTTGGTCACTAAGACTGCCACACTGGATGTGCTCTGGGACTTGAGGTCGACCTGGCAATTTCTCTTTATAGGACCAGCATCTGTCCTCCATTTGGGATCTTGACTATTTATTTGAATTCCTTAACTACTTCTAAAGCACATAACCTCATAAGAATGATACAGTCTTCTAGGGAAAAAAGTTTGTGTTTTTTTGTACTTCAAAATTTTGTAGCAAAAACAAAACAAAACAAAACCCTTGTGATTCAAAAGGAAAAACCTTGCAAACTATGCACAGGTGTAGTGGATACATACATTCAATATAGTGACAGGAATAAGCCACTGAGTCACAGAATAGAGAAAAACGGACATGTTTAGTGAAGAAACTGCAAAAGGATTAGTGCTTTTGCTAATGTTCTACTGACTGACATTGGGTTGATCTGTCAAAGACCCTAATGCACCTTCTGCCACATGTAGACTCAAGAGATTTATCTGCTTATTCACCAGCAAATTTATGGAACATTTATCATGAACAATTTGTTGCAGTAGGAACATTATTTATAATTTAAAAGGAGCAAGAACATACACACACACACACACACACACACACACACACACACACACATACCTTTGAGACAAATTAAGTTTTTGAGCTGCCCTTGACACTGAGAGTTGGACAGGTGGAGAAGGGACAGAACATTTCAGGTGGAAGAAGTGACTTGAGCAAATAAGGCAGCAGGAATTAGAATGCTTGTGAGGAATAGGAACACTTGAGGTGGTATAAACATACAGGATAGTGTTAGGCACAGGCTAGCAAGCTATTTTGGAGTGTGTTATAAAGAGTCCTGTCCTGCGTAGAGGGATTTGAACTTCACTGCAGAGGTACTGTGCAGCTATGGATTGTCTTGGACAATAGTGGGAATAGCCAGGGTTGCCTGGTCTGGTAGTAGAGCCCAAGCTGGAATGGCTACATGAAAAGCAACACTGATGGATGCTTAGGGTAAGAAATATAAACTTTCCCACCTTAGCCTGAAATGGGTCGTTTGAAGAACATTTTGTTTTTTGTGCATTTCATGATGAAACGATGAGTGGTGTCCTCCAGGTTTTTATTCCATGGGGGAGCAATAGTGGAATTCATCAGCATGATGGGCTGAATGACCTTTCTTCCATGAAAAGTGCTTCCATTGAAAATTTCATTGCTAATGCACAATGTCTGCGACCTTCCTTCTCTAAAAGTCATGGTTTTCAGCATGACTGTTCTCACTCTGGGGGAAATTGTGGTTTAAGAACAAAATGGTTTAAACCTTAGAGCACAGAGAATAGAATACATTTAAAAAGTCTTCATTTCCTAACTGGGTGGCTTTGGTGTGCCTTTTAGGTCCTTTTATGCTTTCTGTTCCTCCTTTTCTGATTTTAAAAATGTATTCTTAGTATAAAGTTAGAATAATTATAAGACCCAAAATGTCACTTAAACAGTTCTAGCAGAAACACTATATGACACAACATAAGCACTCTCATTATATTGCTAAATATTAGAGATGGTCAGCTGAAAAAGTGAGGTTTTGTATTTTAAAACTCATTTGGACTGAGCTAGACAGGTAATTAGAGAATGGAGGACACTCATGGAAAGTGCTACCCAGCCATCAGTTTCTGGAGATGGAATTGGAGAGCTGTCTCTGATGTGGGACAAGTGATTCATTGTGAGAGCCTGCTGAGCTAGGATTGCTGCTGCTCAGGCTGACACTAGTTGTGTGACCTTGGGAGACTCACATAACCTCTCTGTGACTTAGCAATGCTCTTCGTAAACTAGTGATAGTGATACTTTATTGCTTTCCGGGTTGTTTGGGAACTCAAAAGGGATCATACATGCAGAAAAGCTCTCAAGAGTTGAAGATAGAACAAGGACTCTGTCAATGACTGGCAAAGTTTCAGAAATGGTTTCCAAACCATGATTGACTTCTCTGGTTGGAGGGAATGACAGTGTCTACCTAAGGGTCACTGCCTTTTTCCCCTTAAGAGTCTCCTTTAAAAATGTGACCTTGGAAGGGCTGGGGATTTAGCTCAGTGGTTCCAGTGCCTGCCTCAAAAAATGTGACCTTGGAGGGCCAGGGATTTAGCTCAGTGGTTTTGCCGCCTGCTGCACAAGGCCAAGGACCTGAGTTCGATCCCCAGTACCAAAAAAAAAAAAAAAAAGTCACCTCGGAGCTGTCACCAAATAGTTAAAACCTTAGAAAGGATGACTTAGCATTCATTTACTGCTAAGAGTAGGATATGGGGGGAACAGAGAAGAGTGCTGGCAGAATCTGGGTTATTGGAAGGAAGGAAGATATGGCTGACTAGATGGTGGGAATATGGAGACGGGACTGTCCTGACCTCACCTTGTCCCTCAATACTGGTATTTTTTTATGCCACTGCCAGAAATTACCAACCCAACTGTATACACTTATTGCATAATATAAATCATCAATACAGAAATACAGGACACATGGGAATGAGAAAGATTTCCTAGATGTTGGGCTATTTTTGGAAGGGAGTAGAAGGGTAGAAGAAGAAGAAAGAAAGGCTATTGCTTAAGCTTATTGTTTATAATTGAGTCTAAAAGAAAAGAGAGCCTGAATTATTTCTTCAGGGCAGATAAACATCTGGATTATTTTCAGTCCTAATGTAAAAAAACAAAACCCCAAGATTTCAAAACATTCATGGAGCACCTACAAAACCAT